TCTGTGAAGCTTCAGTTTTCTGTTGTGCAGTCTCATTTCAATATCCTGACGCAACTAATTCAAGTGTTTTTCTTCACTGCTTAAAACTGGAACATGCTTTACATTTCAAACTCATGCAATTTAGGTGGAGTACTTCATGATGGTGGTGCAGTTTAAGGGACTTTTGTTGAAAAGGAGTTCATTAAAGCTGCCCTTATCACATAATTGTTTCTTACATGTAAATATGATCACTTAAAGTCGTAACAATGCAAGGAATATCTGAAATAAATGTGCCACATGTTGAGTTTCAACAAATGAGTAACATTACTGGAGAACTATTTTTAATTTAATAGTGACTCATTGCACATATGTACAAAGAGGGTCTATTTTCTGTTGCTATATTTTAATCCTGCTACTGGTTGTTTTATTTATGTAACATGGAACAATTTCCCTTCACTTCCTTTATGATTTTTTAGCAACATATAGGTTCTTAGGAATATTGTGTGTCTGATGTTGTATGTTTGTAATGTATTTTCACGTAAAAAGTAAATTATTTAAATGTTGTCAGGTTTAGTAGAACAGCTCATTTCTTTAGTTTAAACATAAAAGCAGTCTGTTTTCAAATACAGTATATTGCCAAAAACATTTAAATTAATAAATCAGTAAGAACACTCTTTAACCTGATTATGTTATCTTATTTATAAAGTGTGTTGGGCTTTTTCTCCAAGTCAGTGAAGCTAATAATTCAGCATATTTTCCAGCTGTGTGTAGTGTGTGTGTGTGTGTTTGTTTGTGTGTGTGAAGGCCAGGCGAGTCAACACATCGCACGGCTCAGTCGCCTAATCCCGTGTAGAGCTGAAGATGTATAACTCGTAATCTGAGTAATCCTTTGTCCTAATACTGCCACTTTAACCAGATGAATGCATTAAAGGCTCCAGGGTGATCAGCTCTGTTGTTGCAGCGCATGGGAAGACCTCAGTTTGATACGTGGAGAAAAAAAGGAACTTATATTTACTTGCTTTGATTTTGAGTATAAAGGGGATAGTTTGAACATGTTGCAGTTTAATGTGATTACTTTAAATATTTAGAGAGCAGTCTATTTTAGAAAGTACCAAGATTTAATTTGAATGTATAGGGAATTTTGCAATACAGTTTTTGACTGATTATTGGAAATTATTAAGGGAATTTATTTGTAAAATGTAGCTTATTCTTTCTCGAAATGTGTGTATTTTCTGTTAATGTTGCTTAAAAATTAATTACAGATTTTCCAGAATTAATGTTTATATAACCATAAATAAAATATACAGCATACAAATAAGTATATACTGTATATTTATCGGGTAATTTGTGTTTGTCCTATATTAAATCCCCTGCATGTTTCGTACCACAGTGGAAAGAGCACTAAAAAGTTAAAAATATAGTTAATCTTTTCTTGTAAATACTGGGTTATTTTCACTCACCAGACAAGAGCCCTGTGTGTATTTCCAGAGTCTAAGTCGGCCAGTCTGCTACCCCAGAATAACCCTGACAGGTTATTCATAACACCGCAGACCTCTCTGTTACTGGGGCAGCCACTATTATTTAGTTCAAATGACTAGGCATGGTTATTATTGGCACTTCTCCTATTAATAGGGAGAACTGCTAAAAATTGAGCAGTGTGTTTGTCCTGGGCGTGTCGCCGCCTCAGACCAGGGCTGAAGATAAACACGAGTTTGGCCTCGGCAGATGTCGGGCTGCAGCCATGTTAACTCTGTCATCTTTTCAGGGCTTTTAGATTGTATCACATGCAGGTTGTTTATGTGTTTGGGAGCTCAGCCCGGGGATGTGAGGGGAGGCTGAAGTTAGCTGTGGACAGGCAGTAACAGGAGGAACAGTTGTCCAGCGAGGGTGTGCTGTGGTGTGGGAACAGCTGAGCCACTTGGCCCCCGCAGAGAGCCAATGCTACCAGACCAGGCTGCTTAATTACCTCCGTGTGTTTTTTTTAATATGAATATCTGTGTGTGTTTGTGCAGAGATATGCTCGTGAGTTCCCTGAACTGTTTCTCTCTCAGCCTCACACTCTTTCTCCTGCCTGTGCGTTAGCTCCCGCAGCCCTCCGCTCCTCTCAGTGTGTTACCTGCAGCCCTCCTGTCACATTTCACCCCTGCCTGCCACATTCCTAGTTATCTCAGAGGGGGTTACATACCTTTGCCCTGAGAGGCAGCTAGTAGCAAGCGTCCTGCCTTTCTAGTTGTAGGACTGGCAGGCAGGCCATCAGTCAAAACAGAGAGCCGTACACGAATCATGCACGGCGGGAAGTTAGTACGTTTGTCTACTTTAGCAGCCTGTTTAGTTTATGTTTCGTAATTTAATAAGTAGAGATGCCCTGACACATCCTGTCCTGTTGTCATTTAAAACAATACAATACTTAAACAGTCTCTCTTTAAATATTTGTCCTTTTCCGGGAAAATTAACACCTCTGCTTAGTTAGCCTGAAGCTTCACATTATATCTCGTAAAAATATAAAACGTAACACACTTCGCTATAATGCTCTGCTTTATTTGAACGGTTTTCTGCAATGTATACATTCCATTGTTTCCAGGCTACAGATCTGGCTGTTGTGACCCATTGAACAGTGTTTTGCCTTTTTATTTAATAATTTTGAGAGGCCCAGAAATGGTTAGATATCTAGTAATTCAAAAGTAAAGATTAAAGGACTTTCTAAAATATAATCACAGTTTGGAAAAATATGTGTGTTTCTGCTGCTTTCCTATCACTTTAATTACGTGTCAACTCCAGTAAAGTTTTGCTGTGTTTTTAGACAATATAAGACTTAAAGTAATCTAATAGACAATAACCAATAAATAAAAGTTTCTAAAACATGTGTTTAATGCCCAGCCAAATATAACTACCCAGTCTGTTTATGTCCTTGCTTATCTTCAAACTAACTTCAGATAACATTGGAATTTAAATGTTCAATTAGTTTACAAACACTTGTTGTTTTTAATATTTAAATTACATTAATGTTGATTCTTTTTTAAATGTTTTGTGTCTGTCAAATTTGTAGTCTCAGATATTCAAACTCATATGGCAAAAGTTGGAGACCAATCCGATGTCTTTGTAGGAGCTTTCTGTTTAAACTGTTTGCAGTAGCCAATATTAGTTACTTAAATGCCTATATTACCTATTCAAAAGTTGACTTCTGAATTATTGTGAAAAAACTGCATTATTTGTGTTTGATCGATGCTGCTTTTTTAGACACTCACAATAGTTGCTGCTTTAGCTTAAAGATAATCACCCAAAATCCTCTCTGTGTAGCAGCGGTTCGCCCACTCCTCTTTCCACTGTCGGAGCGGAGAACTCCTTCTCATAATGTTTCCTCTGTACATCTGAAAATACTGTCAGGACAGCAGGAACCAAATACTGTCAGGACAGCAGGAACATTCTAAAACTGTTTTTTTTTTGCCTATAAGTATTTTAACATAATCCAGCTCCTCACATCCTGCACATGATAGATGTTTGGTCCTTCAGCCTGGATTACAGAAATGCTTTTGCTCCAATGATGGAGGCTTTTGTAAAAGTTTCTGTCACTTGGCCCCTTTTTGATTTGTGACTTGTTGCTGCAGAGACCTCCAGCAGGTGACCCTCACACTCTCATAATGAAAGGATCAGTCAGCTCCCACACCACAATAAGCAGCAGTTAATGTATGCAGGCCAGTTTAGCAGAACAATTAACACTCACTTGGGTAGGCACTCCGCAAATCTAGTCTCACCGTAGGATTGTGCAAGTATTACTACAGCAGCTCCATTGAGAGGCTGCTCTGGTCTGACAGAGCAAACGGCTGCTGGTGACTCAGACTGGCTGCTTCTGATCTGCTGTGAATTAAAACAAACGCCCCCTGGTGGCCACTTAGGGACCCCTGTCCTCCATCTGTGTGTGTGTGTGTGTGTGTGTGTGTGGTGTGTGTGTGGTGTGTGTGTGTGTGTGTGTGTGTGTGTGTGTGTGTGTGTGTGTGGGTGTGTGTGTGTGTGTGTGTGTGTGTGTGTGTGTGTGTGTGTGTGTGTGTGTGTGTGTGTGTGTGTGTGTGTGTGTGTGTGTGTGTGTGTGTGTGTGTGTGTGTGTGTGTGTGTGGTGTGTGTGTGGTGGTGTGTGTGTGTGTGTGTGTGTGTGTGTGTGTGTGTGTGTGTGTGTGTGTGTGTGTGTGCTCACCATGTACGTTAGAACAGTGTATTGGTTATTGAACATAGTACTATTTTAAATTGGGGCAAGGTTCAGAAAAATATATATTCTATATATATGAATACACACTCTGGCCAATTGCTGATATGATCCTACCTGTATTCTTATCAAACATTTCGAGTGAGTAATATATTACCTTTTTTAGTACTTTTATTAAAACATTTCAATGTTTCTATGTATTTTTCTACATAGTAGATGGTTCAAATGTCATTTATTATTACAGAAATTCTGGCTAATTGCTAAGCTGAATTTGACTGAATTCCTAAGGTTTTCTTTAGAAAAGTATTTTGCGATTATTCCATACTTTTTAATATGACCATTTATTTCCTAGAAGAATTGTGTACTTTATGGTATATATTTGACTTATTGATTCATTTGTTGTATTTAATATTGGTCTTGGTGTTTCGAGTTCTTTCATAGAGATATGGTCAGATGTCGTTCTGCTCTGACCGGCCAACCTGAGAGTAGATTGACTGTCCGTTATTCAGATTACTATCACATGAGTAATGAATGTGATCTGACATAACCTGGCCAGTATCTTAATCAGATTCTTGCATTGTTTGATTTTTTTGTATCTAGCACCAGTAGAAGTCTCTTTGTACTCTTACACCACTGATTTAAAAAATGGACATCATTGGTGCATCCATAACTGGTTAATGTATCCGGCTCATTGGAATGTTGAAATGTTTTTATTAATGACATATAATATTATTGCTTTATATTATATTATTATATTGTTATTATAAGCTTTCATTAAGGCCGCTAAGATCTAAACTGCTATTTTTCCCCCTTCTTTTCACAGCTTCTTAGACCGGATTGAGGTGGTCAGGCAGAACGACTACACACCCACTGACCAGGTGAGCTGTACACACACACACACACACACACACACACACATACACACTTCTTCCTCTTACACCCCTGTTTATGACATCTCTACATCCCTCTGTCTGTATCCCTTTCTCTTTCTATATTTTCTAATTAACACCTTCCTGTTCCATCTCTTTTTTTATTTCAGGACCTGTTGAGATGCAGAGTGTTGACATCTGGAATCTTCGAGACACGATTTCAAATAGACAAAGTCAATTTCCAGTGAGTTTTCACAAAATTCATTTATTGCAGTTCACAAGTGTGTCCACAGATTATAAAGAAGAACCACGCCATCTGTGTAAAAACATCGAGAGTGTATTAGAGCAGGGGTTCCCAAACTTTGCCATGCCAAGGACCCCATATAGCATTATCCTCTGGCGGGGACCCCCCTGTTGCAATTTTTTTTTTTAATGATGATTACATTATGATGGAAAATATGACAAATTAATCATACAGCTTAATACATTTTCTTAATATATATATTTGTATTAATAATTAATAATCAGTTATTCTTCTAAAAAATGCTTTTGTTTGTCATTCATTACATTCATTGTGTCTTCTGTTATAAACATTATTAACACAATATTAAACTGTAATATCAACAGCAAACATATTTTTAAAGCATTTTTAAAGTGATTTCTGTCTTTATAATATTATATAATTTTGAACAGTAATATGAACAATTAACATATATTTTTAGTATTTTTGAAAGCTACTTATGCCTTAATAATATTATATATAATACTCAACAGTAATTATTAACAATAAACATAAACATCAATATTTGCTACATCCGTGCTCTCATCCAGCTGCAGAGCGAAATATTCACTAGCTCTCACTTGCTCCAGAAGCTGAGCAGATACTCAGTTTCACTCTCAGTAGCGGCAGCTCGATTCTGATTGGCTTGAAGGGCGGTCGTGAGATTTAAAAACAATAAAATAAAATATTAATAAATCAAAAATATTAAAAGATTGGCATCAAAGGACACATAGATGGATAGATATGCAGTTATTAATAACATCTACAACAACAACAAAATGTAACTTTAAAAAAAAATTCCCCTTTCCCTCAAACTTTGCGTGACCCCCCTGGGGCCCCCCACTTTGAAAAACACTGTATTAGAGGACAATGTACACATTGTATTTGTGTTAAATAATAAATCTAATAAATTCATGTATTTCCCCCTAAAGAGTTTTATTTTCTCAAGACATTGTTGTCACGTGAATGTTATCCCTGTTCCAGTATTTAATGTAAATCCTTTACTCACAGTATGTTCGATGTTGGAGGTCAGAGGGATGAACGTCGAAAATGGATCCAGTGTTTTAACGGTAAGATGTTCCTAGCTTTGACTGCTTTATAGTAGTGATGACACTTTTCAATAACACTTTTTCTTTGGTATTCTAAAGATAAACAACAGTGTTTGGAAGTTGTATTCGCCGTTGGTGTTTTAATCTTTGTGTTTTGGTGTATGTGGCGCAGATGTGACAGCCATCATCTTTGTGGTGGCGAGTAGCAGCTACAACATGGTGATCAGAGAAGACAATCAGACCAACAGACTACAGGAAGCCCTCAACCTCTTCAAAAACATCTGGAACAACAGGTGATGATCATAGAAACTAGTGTTGTGATGGAGACTGAGTTACAGCTAGTTTGGTTTTGATGCGCTGGCTGATGTTAGATTTTGATCGTGATATCCATATAAAGACAAGCTTGTTGCACACTGCCACAGTTAAAACATTTGTTGGTAATGTTATAATGAAAAGATTATCTTAAACCCTTGATGGAAATGCTTTTTATGAGTACCATTGTATTAAACCTTTGGGTGTAATGGGACCTGTGGCAGTGTGTATTGGGCCATACATTACCTATGTATATCCTTTTTTTAACCATTATTTATTTATTCTACTTTTTAACCAATTGAAAAATATATATTATATTTTTAGTAAAATGGTAAAGGAAAGATTGAATGCAGTTATGTCTTGAGAATGAAGCCGTACGACAATGAGGTTTCACTTTGAGGAGAAATGTTAGGTGTCACACATGTGCTGTTTACAAACAGGGTGCATGTCTGTCCAGTGGGAGTAGACGCTGATATGTATTTCTCCCTATGGGCGCACTTGATCTGTGTATGGCTGGAGCTTTAAGTCCTTTTCAGCCCAGACCTCCAGAGTACATTTTTCTCTTGTTCTTCAGCCAGAGCCTATTCATACTCTATAATGCCCCTTAAAAAGTGGACATCCTCCAGTAACTCACCTGTAACTTATTTTGGGTTATTAAAAAAAATAAAGGAATCTGGCACTGATCTTGTTCTTCAATTCCCTCCAAAGGTGGCTACGGACCATTTCGGTAATCCTCTTCCTGAACAAACAGGACCTGCTCGCTGAGAAGGTTTTGGCAGGGAAATCAAAAATTGAGGAGTATTTTCCGGAGTTCGCACGCTACACTACGCCTGATGATGGTAAGAGATTGACTCTGATATTTGTATGTGGCCAATGCATAATAAACATGGTTGTTACCAACTAGTTCAAATGGTTTCGTTTGGATGAGCATCCATTATAAGTCAAAACACAACAGCATAGTTTAAAGTATGCTTTACATTACTCCCAATAATGCAACTAAAGGGTAGTATGTATAGAAAATATATATATATTTTTAAATGTTCTTCTCCTCTAACAGCAATACCAGAACCAGGGGAGGATCCCCGTGTCACAAGGGCGAAGTACTTCATTCGGGATGAGTTTCTGGTACGTACTCGTGTTTTTGAGTTTGATCGAGTTTGATTGAGTTTGAGTTTACTTTAGTGCATTATCACCAGAAACTAAGAATCCTTGTAGAATGAGGCCTTCATATGTACAGCCATGGAGTCCGCCACGTTGCACTGCCTAGTATCTACTATAGCTCAGAACAGACAAGAGAGGGCGTTTCACATTCTTATGTTACCTGAAGTAAAAGTAGGGGTGCGCGAACCACTAGACGAACTAAATCCTACATACTAAAATGGTTATTACAGGTCTGTGGCGTTGCACAAGACATTAAGAGGTTGTGGAGCCACTGATCTTCAACACTAACTTGTGTGTACCTGTGTGTTCTTCAGAGGATCAGCACAGCCAGCGGGGACGGACGGCATTACTGTTACCCCCACTTCACCTGCGCCGTCGACACAGAAAACATCCGCCGCGTCTTCAATGACTGTCGCGACATCATTCAGAGGATGCACCTACGGCAGTACGAGCTCTTGTGATGGGCAGCGGTGACCGGCCTACGTATCTACCTACCTATCTATCCCCCCCTCCCCCACGACCAGTTAGCCAATCACCGTCCCCCCTCCACCTCACCCAACTTCACCAAACAGCCGAGCCCTCTCCTCCATCCTGATTCCTCTCCCGGGGGACTTCAGTGGAAGACTTTTCTTCAAAAAAAGGAGTTAAGGAAGACATTTTCATCAACTATTAGCCAGGACTGACTGCTGTGCTCAGAAACAGACTGGAATCCCTCCGTGCAGGCTATCCCTCCTTTCAGCTCTCTCAGATATAAACACACACTGGCAGGTACACACACACTACAGCATTCAGAGCCCTTAAATAGATTGTAATGTCTAATATCACACACAGAGAGCCTTTTAAAACTGAGTCCTCCTGCTCGACAGTCGGCAGAGGCTGAGTTGAATAACGCATTCTGAGAGAGAGGAGTTTATTCCCCGTCTGCTGAAGGAGGAAGGGAAGAACAATGGACATGGAGGATGGAGAACTGATACAGAGGAGGGCTGTGAGCCTTTTTTGTTGCCCGAACAGATGGACTAATTGACTAACGGCTGCCTGTGGACGTGAGCGTGACTCAAACATAAGACCACGCGGCTCACATGACCGCTCTTCAAGACACCAATCGAAGAGAAAACAACAAAAAAATTGAGGAAAAAAAAGAAAATAAATACCATACAATGCATACCAGTGAACTTCATGCAGTGCAGAGAATCCAAGATATATATATATATATATATATATATATATATATATATATATAGATATATATATATAGATATTTATATATATGTGTATATAAATATGTGTATATATATATATATATATTCCTGTAATAACACAAATCAACTTTTACGTTTTTGTTAGTTTTTACCCCATGTTGTGTGTTGGTGTACCACTGTGTGTGTGATCTGCCTTTGTGCACCATTTAACCCCCCCCTACACACACACACACACACACACACACACACACACACACACACACACACACACACACACACACACACACACACACACACACACACACACACACACACACACACACACACACACAAATACATCCTCGCCCCCCCCCCCCTGCCCCTGCTGCTATTTCATAAATACTCAACATATGGAAAATAAAAGAGAGGTTTTATATAATAAGGAAAAACACATCGAAAAGGAAAGCATGAATATAAAGACTTATCAAGACTGGATGCAACATTTTACCTGGGAACACACTCTAATATACACACACACACACACACTCACGCTTCACCCTCATCAGCTCCCCTTCCACACGCCTCTCCCCCCCCAAACCTTTCGTCTTATTCTCTCACCCCTCCCTCCCTGTCCCACCTGGCTTTAAGTACGTCTGTCTTTATTTTACTGCTGGACTATTATTCTTGTACAGACTGTAAAATGTATTATTTTGTACAACTTTATTGAAGAAAAAAAAATACTTGTAGAAGATCCCTGTGCCTTGATCACGACTGTACGTGTAAAAATGAGCTAATATGTAAGTTATGTTTCACTGCGCTGTACAGCTGGAGGGGGCTGTCCCACCTCGTCCGTGCTTGCTCCCCCCCTCCCCCCCGCGGCAGGGCGGGGGGAGGGGCATCGGATCGGGGCTTTGGCCTTTCGTCTGTTGCTTAGTTTCCTTCCCCCCCCCCACATTTGTTTGTTCGTTAATTTGTTTGTTTTGCTTTGACTCTCCTCTGGTTTATATAATATGATTTGAAAAAAAGAAATTAAGAAAAAAAAAAAGAAGATTATCAGACACACCACCTTTAATGCTGTGTAGTGAAAGATACTGAACCCTAACACAATTTAATATATATATAAAATATATTTCATATTTTATATATATGCACTGTACACTGATATCTATCTCCCTTGTGAGCTGTCCACCAGGTTTCCTTTCTGTCAGTAACATCTGCATACGTTGTTGGAAAGGTGGCGATTCTGGGTGCAATGGGATGGGTATTCATTTGTTTATTTGTTTTTTATTTTAGCTTTAACTCTTTTGAAGGAGAGGCAAATATCCAGTTGCAAAACATTGCTTGTTTCTACATAAACCAAATTCTTTTTTGCTTAAACAAGAAGAAACGGTTGTATTAGTGTTTGGTTCATTCTACGGCTGAGTTTACTCGATCCTCTACATCTGCACCACACACTCAGCTGCCCGTTTGTTAGGTTCACTTGTCTTAAAGTGCAGTCTAATGCAGCAGGCCTGCAGTGAATCCAACCCTATGTAGATTGTAATGTTCTGTGAGAGGTCTTCTTATTTCTGCCTCAGTGAGGGGAGACTCAATATTAGAAACACCTCTCAGTCAAACAGGATAAACAATTGATGATAATAAAACGTGTTTATATTGCAAAACCAGAGATTGCAAAGTGTTTTAAGGGTTATATATATAAAGATACAACATGAGAACATGGGCTGTAAATATTTAGATCAATTAATAAAAATATTAAATGTGTTCTTACATACGGATTTTACAACAAAAACTGAATATTATTACCTTCATGACAGTAGGGTTCATTGTTATTCTATTGCATTAGACTGCATTGGTTTAAGATAGATTGACCTCGATGGCAACTGAGCATAAACTAATTTGTGTTTCTTACACCAGTCAGTCCTGAGGAATATCAACATTTTAGCCAAGGTCATATCCTGCTTTTCACAACACACAGGGTTAAAATGAATGTGACGAACAGAAGCAGTTGGAGCTGAAACTCTTCTGTTCCCTAAACTGACAACTTGTTGTGGTCAAAGATGCAGGTATGCTCTCCACCATGGCCTCTTATGCAGTTGACATCAGGGCCTTATATTTTCCAGAGTTCAACGTTTATGATTATACAATTCATATAATTATTCACTTTAGTTTAAAAAAACAACAGGCCTTTTAGGTTTTAATACACTTTACCGCTTTGGAAAGGGATATAGTGCGTTTTATATAAAGCTTAGATCAGCTTTATATAAAACGCACTATATCCCCAAAACACTGACGGGCTTACCTGGAACATGTTTAAATCTCACTTCCAAGCCATTTGGGCCCAGGTTTATTTCTCTGGCGTAATCCTTCAAGAGGTGCAGCAATGATAACGCGAGAGAAGGGATTACATTAACCGTTTTATGTCAACACGTCCTCACCTGTGTTCTCCTTAATGTCACACAGGCTGAAACAATAAGAGGGTTTAATTTGAGCTCAATTCGCTATTTTGACATCAAGTGTTTCAGAATTCGTTGGGTTTCGATACTTTAAGCTGAAGCAGATGTTTAAAAGCCACATGAAGCAATGGGTAAAAACACCTCAAGAGAAGCACAGGCACAATAATATCCCGGCGCAAGTTTTTATAGTAGTTGTGCAGTTGTGCTCATTTGGCTTGCGTTTTTAAGATATCTAGGAAACAAAACTCTTGTTTCATCAAGGCCTTTAAATGCTCTCATTATTTATGGCATATTGTGTATTGCAAAAGAAATAACATGAGAAGTTTTTCAAAAGCCATACAAACTATAATTCAGTCTGATTGTCTGAAAAGCTCATGGATGAAGATATTTAACACTTGCAAGAAGATTTGTTGAAGACATTTGAAAATGTAATAAGCTAAACTAGGAAGTATTTCGTTTGATATATATAATGATTGAGCTTCAAGAGGAAACATGTCGCATGAGAGTAATTCCTCCTTTAGAAACGATACCCAACGCCAATCCCACAGTTGATTTGATTACCAACTCTCAAAGATCACCCAGAACTGCACCATTGTTTCAAAGAATGTCTGTATAAAAGTGGAATCCTGTTTTAAAGCTCAGGTGAAACTACACCTGTTTACACCAGATGCAGGGAGGTCTTATAATCTGCTGCTGTTGCAAAGTTAATCCTTATGGCCTCGCACCACCCACTGTGCAGGAGTAACTAGATACACACAATAAGGACTCAATCACAAAACTGTCTCTGTGGTCATTTAAACTTTTAATTACACTTACATGGCCAAAGGTATGTGAACACAGGCATATTTCACTCTGTGGTTTTTGAACGTCTCATTTAAAAACCATGGGCATTAATAAGCTGTTATAACAACTGTTCTCGGAAGGCTTTCCACAACGTATTTCGAGTACGGTTGCTGAATGTGCTCCTATTTAGATTGGCTGCTAATAATAGTCAATAATCCCTGGCTCATAGTCTGCTTCCTTATCAATCATGATTTGATTGGAGTTGATGTCAGGTCTCTAGTCAACTTCTCATATACCAAAGTATCTGTAGATGAGTCTCAGTGTCAACAGAGGAGGTATACTTTTTAAACAAAATGGCTATTCACCAAACATGGATGTCATATGTTTTTATTTATACATCATTATGAGTGTATATGTTTATGCTAACGGGAATTAAGAGCATTGTCCAAGCCTTAAAAAAAACACCCAAAGGTGGATTAAGTGGGACATATACTTTCAGCTGTAGTGTACACCCAAGTGGTGATGTCAAAGCAGGTATATTACAAAGACAAATGTAAGACAAACCATTGTTGGGCAGTGGTCACTGCAAAACTGCACCATGCCGGCACATTTTGATCCGCAGGGGGACTGAAGGAGTAGTATTTATTTTATATAATGCAAGTAAAACGGTGTACTATATTTATTGAAAGGCTATCCTATCAGACAACACAATAGACAAAACAAAAAATGCCTCTTCAAAGTTGGAGCAACGGCATAAAATATATTCAAGGTGGCAATACTTTTCTGATATTTAATTTTTTTTAAATTGTGTTTGTATGAAAGCAAATAATTGCAATATACATTTGAATTGTTTAAGTAAGTGATGTTAAAATGCAACCAATACTGAAAAGGTTACTTCATGTAGTATCTATACCACTACTACATTGACAGCACTGAAATGTTTTATTAAAAAAACCAAAAACGATTTGAAGTTGTGCAGTTAAAGGTGGGGTAGGTAATTCACTTCAGAAACACTTTTTGTTATATTCCATGGAATGGTCTTAACATCCCGATAGCAATGAATATATGAAATGCTTTGACAATAAATACATTAAAACATTTCATCTGTGGTGCTGTAAAAAGCACGACCAATCATTTTAGCCGGCCCGGCTAAAATAACTGGATGGCCTACAGTACCCATAGAATAGATATATATGGGCCTACCTGCCTGTCAGCCTTCCATCTGTGCACACACTTATCTCGTGCCCTCATTGGTCATGTGCGCGTTCGTGTGTGTTGGAGGAGGGGCTCTGTAAGGAAGTCTGAAGGAAGAGACAGATTTTTTCCGGTTGTGTACTTTCAAATTCTAGCACACTCGAGCTGATTTCTCCATTCTTACCTACCCTCCTTCCACCTGCTTTCAAAGTGACCAATATTTCTGACAGCGGTTTAAGGCATACGTTTCCCCCACTCCACCGGAGGGAGCCAGAGGTTAAAAACAAATACAGACGGGTAAAAAACAAACACGTGGGCCGAACCGGACGACGAGCTTCTTCCTCCCGCTAAGCCCCGCCTCCACGTTTCCATGCATTGGCGCGCTTCGCCTCTGTGACTGGCTACCTGCTCCTCCCCGGGTGGCGGTGACTCTGTAGTGGGCTGCGGGTGAACACACAGCAGGCATGAGTGCGGCGGGTAGTGCTCGGTCCGGTTCGGCCGCTGGCCCGGTCCAACAGGGGCTAAAAGAGGCTCTAATCGAGACACTGAAGGCCATCCTGTCCCCGGTTCAAGAAGTGCGCGCTGCCGCGGAGGAGCAGATCAAAGTGCTGGAAGTGACAGAGGGTGAGTAGCCAGTTTCTCAAAGCTAGTTTGAGGGAGTTACCAGCGGCTAGCTGCCCGGTGTCCGCACTCACTGACGGCATGGGCCTCCGCAGAGATAAGCACCATGCGGACAGCAATGTGCTGCTTCCATCAGGGCTAACTCCGGCTGTGTTTGCTAAGCTGGGAAGTAGCTAACAGTCACGATAGTGTGGTAATTGTGTCAGGTCCATGAAGGCCACATTTTAAGAAGTTATTTAGTGGTGTACACGTTAGCTTCAAAACTCTTATCTTGCCTTCTTCAAAGTGACGCAGACGGACAAATCACAACTAACCGTGTGTCACAAGTGTAATGGTTAACGTTAGGTTGTAAGTATGTCACATTGAGCACATGGGGGACTGCTAGGACCCCGGCCCTTAAACAGCAGAGCAACAGGGTGGGCTGGGTTATTCTTCTGCCTCAATAGGAACGGTCCGTTAGCTTTTATATCAGCGTATCACTGTGAGCTAGCTAAGAGATTCTCCCAGTTCTTCGGAAACTAAAGCAACAAAAACGGTTAGGACTAGGAGAGCATTGGAATGTGACAACGTCACTTGGAAAAGGGGTCAGGTGGGTTGACAGCAGCATGTCCTAAACCCCACCTGAGACAAGTGTTATTTAACCGTTTATATATATATATATATATATATTAAGAGCAACAGTGTTTACAGTGAGATGCAAACTGACTTCAAGAGGTCCCAGAAGTTACCCATCACTTAAACGTATATAACCATTTTTATGGTCGCTATGGCAACAACGGAATGCCCGTTGACAGATTTTCCCGCGAAGATGTCTCCCAGGGCGGTTCTCCCGCGCCACCATGCAGCATCAGCACCATCAGGATGAGAGATGGCAAGACAAAAAGGACTACTGTCCCAGAATCCATCCATGCATACATAAAGTCCATATTACTTAATGTAAAGCATTCCTACACAAACGTATCAATGTGCCCTTATCTGGAGACCAACTGCACAAAATGGGCTCTTTTGTTGTTGTTGCTCTTTCAGTTCTAGTTGTTTTGATAGATGTAAAACATGATACAGTTGACAGCCAGTTTCTATATTCTTTTTGTATCTAACAGTCACAGAATGGGTCTGTTTTCCCTTGTCCCTGGTATTCAAATTGTTATTATAGCATCTGGATATATAGTTGATGAAAATCCTAGGCACCATGGAAATAACCTTGTATCTTATGTTAACAATTGGGGACAGTTGGTGTTTGTGGAAATAATAACCATCACAAAGGATTTCATTTTGATAAAGTCCTCAATCCAATAGGATGGGTACAGTACCTAGCAGCCGTAGCTTATGCTCCACTAGACTTTCCATTGTATGTCCTGCAATCCTCGTGCCCATGGTAAAAAGGCTAATTGTTAACTCTGTCGGCTGTGTCGCAGCGAGGCCGACCCTTTCCGCTGGCCCCTCTCTAAGGCAGACGCTCTACAGGACTGTCATCAGCACTCACATTGTCTTCTGGCGCCTGATGTCACTTTTAGTAAAACCCAGTTAATGAGAGAGCTGCATGGAGCTGAGGCTGATGCTGATCCTGAACTGTATTTATCTGCACGCAGGTCAGGCCAGGTTCACACCAGTGTACGCATTACAGCTCACAGGCTGTTGCGATGTCGGTGGCCTTGGAACTTCATTATATCAATGTTGTCATGTATTGTGGTACACCAACTCAAAACACCTAGAAGT